CGTTTTCGTGTACGATCATTTCTTTCGGTGCACGATCTAGAACACATTCGGTGGCAAAACCATCTCTCCTCAACAACGTCGTGTCTTGACAATTTTTAACAAGTCGTCCCTATGAGATAATATGAAATAAAATTTTACGAAATTCATTTGATACGCAACTTTCTCAGATTTTCTATCCTTTGAACTCTTAACTCATCCGTTACTCTTAATATCCAATAGCAATTTACACTCGTTTCTCGAACAATTTGCGTAAGATCCAATTATTCATGGATTTCCCGAACTCGGCTTGACTTGATTCATATCTATTCGACAACAGCGTCGGGAACGGACGTATTTGTGAGTCAAATTCCTCTTACGAATGTGTCTCGCACGCGTTTCCACTAAAGTCTAAAAGATCGTTGCGTCGTTTCTCGTCATTTTTCATCACTCGCTGCTCTTCGACGAGTAAATAATGAAGAACACCTCGAGGAAGAAAACCACCGCGTTGACGAACGTGAACACAGCGCCAGATATGAACATGTCCATGTACTGTTTGCTCGGATAGTATTCGTTGTTGTTGTAGTAAGGGCCGAGAATCTTCCTCCAATTATAGACAATTATGCTCCCAGCCACGATGTGCAGCAGCGCGCCGACCGACGAGAACACTATCAACTGCAATCAGAGCGGATCGATGTTACTCGGAGACGTATCGAGGATCCATGATCCACAATCCGCTTTTACTCGCATTTTTTTTTTTTTTTTGTAAAGGGTGAACACGTTCGGCTCACGGTCTCGAAATTACAGTGTCCTGCCCGAACGGAACGTTCGATGAGAAATTAATTAAATCACTCTTCTGTGTTCCTGCAGAATTAATTTCGGTACTTTCGTACTATCTACTTTGTACTTATCAATCAATACTTTCGATTATACAAATTATAGCCTGTTTATCGTTTAAACTTGTCTACAAATTTTGCTCGTTTCGAAAAATTCTTCGCGTTCGTCGAAAGTAGGCCACGGAGTCGTTCACTTTCGCGATTATTCCATCGTGTTATCACGACTGTACGACACGAACGACAATAATTATCGCGTTTCTCGATACCCAGCCCCAGATACTATAAGTATTCCGATTGTTTCGTGAACGAAGAAAACGTCGTAAAGCGAGTGGTCGATAAACCCAGTGTGGGAACGTGGACGTTGATAAGTTATGAATTTTAATCGAAGTGGAACGGAACACGCGCGTGGATTTCGAACAGGCTGGAAAGTAAGCTCGGAACTCGAGGCGGAACTAAATCCTAAATTCCTCCACACGAGTGCCAGGAATTTTAGAAATATTATTATTACATCCTGCGCCGTATATTTCGTTCGAATTCAATTAGCTTCGTTATCCATATTTCACTCTGTGAAATTGCAATTTGCAGGTCGAATGTCGAAGACATAGTAGAATAGATCGATAGAGTTGTGTTTAGAGGCCGTTTGCTGGCTCATTGTCATTCACGAGAAATAAACTTCACCATTGTCATACAATTCCAATACTCGGCGAGTTTTCGTTCTGAAAATGGTACTGAAATTTCACCCCTCTCTCTCTCTGTTAAAACAGAAATTTCTTCTCCGCGAATTACTTACCGTTACAACGTATCTGTCAATTTACACTGCAAACGTGCAAATAATTCCACCGACGAGAACGAAGGACGTTCGTTAATTGTCGGCTGTACGGTTTCTACAATGATTTAGCAAACCAAAGAGCGGCGTTCTAACCGGGGAACCAAT